CTGCACTACAGCTCACGTTGCAGTAAATTGTCAGGACATTTATAATGATCGCACTGCATTAAAGCATTTCTACAGGCACTGGTTTGTAATATAAAATAATAAACACGTTCTACTCACCTGACCTGTGCAATGGTATTGCACAGATAGGCCTCAAACCTCCTCTTCTGAAGTCCTCCACCTGCAATCTTGGTTCCTCCTCCTCTTCTCTGACCCCATAGCAAGCCGCTTGCTATGGGGTCAGATATGCAGGCTTGATCCCCAGCCAGGCTGTGTGCATCCATAGACACACACAGTGCGGCTTGTCCCTGTCCCTCCCACACAGGATTGGACGGACAGCAGCAATAGTCAATGGCTCCCACTGCTTTCAGCAAAGTCTATGAGATCAGCAAGAGGGGAGTGAAGACCTGCAAAGGATGCATTGAGGTAACAAATATTTTATCTTTAGAACCCCTTTAACACGGCATATTTCAGTGTGCATTGTGACCGCCATTAATGCACCACAAGGGAACGCAGAAGTGGGAATTCAGCCTGAAAGTGAAGCAGTTATTTTCCCGCACAGAACTGAGTAACATGTTTACTTTCATTTTCTCCAGTCCCCAGCAGTGTGTACTCACCATCAGAGGCCAAACAAAAGCCTGGAGACATTTAAATACTGAATATATTCTTTCCAGATGATTGCTAAGTTTTGTGTTGTATCCGGAGTTCTCCTTAAAAGTGAACCTGCAATCACTGTTAAAAGAGAAGTATGGGCAAAGCATTTTTGGTCGTACTTCTCTTCTGGGTTACAGGAGTTACCTTATTTCCTGCTAAAGTCTGCTGTCAGCTGACATTACAGAGCCGCTCCAGTTTTTGGATGTATCCCGCCAACAATGTCAGGATCCACCCAGATGTCTGACTGGAAGCTGACTGTCAACATGCCACTGCCCCCTCCACAGCCTGACACTTCAGTGAGCGCTGGAGGGGCAGAGCAGAGATCCGGTGAATGACAGTCATTTGCTCTCTGCAGATTGAAGACTGAGAACTGAATGATCAGCGGTGAAGTGATCTCTCATTGCTTGGTCTTAGAGCCAGTGAGGAGAAAGCTGCAGCTGCATAGGTCAGTATGAATTTTTGCTTTTTTTATATACCACACTTCTTTAAAGTTTTAAAAGTAAAAGAACATATCTCCTCCTCGCTGCCTGTCCAGCTTTGGATCACTTTTCTGAGGCATAGCAGTCCTCGCCCCTCGGGTGAATGAGGCCGGAGAAAAGGTTTACTTTAGGCTTACTGAGGGGTTTAGGTTTATTAAAGGTTTACTTTAGGTTTTTTATGTTTTGAAAGTGCGGTCTGTTCATTATTGGTTATGTAGAATGTTTCTATAATTTATCATTTTCCATTATTCTTTTTTATCTATTTTTAGTTCTGTGAATAAAAATATATATTCTTCAAAAACATCTTTTGAAAGATGGAAAAATTATGTGATGAAATGAAAAAATGAAATTAAAATTCTGGACCGAAACTGAAAATTCAGGTTGCATTTGGCTGAATATATACAGGGCTTTTTTCAGTGGGAACGCGGGGAAACGCAGTTCTAGCACCTCCAGCATTGGATGTATGTAATGGCAAGGGGTGCTGGTGTGTGCTGGAAGGTCTATTGATTCTGGTTGCTGGGGGATCTCTTGTCACTGGTGGGGATCTATGTGTGGAGGTCTATTGTTGCTGGGGAGGTATGTTGTTGCTGGTGGGGGATCTATTGTTGCTGGAAGGGTTATACTGTTGAGGGAGGGGTGTTAGCTGCTGGGCAGTCTGTTGATGTTGGCTGTTGGAACATCTATTGTTGCTGCTGGGGTCTATTGTTAATGGGGTGGTATTTTGTTGTGGGTGTCCATTGTTGCTGGACGGGGTATCCTGTTGAGGGATGGATCTTAGCTGCTGTGCAATCTATTGATGCTGGCTGCTGGGAGATCTGTTGTAGCTGCTGGGGTCTAATTTTGACGGGGCGGTGGAACCCAGGGACGGTGCTCAGAGGTGGGTAGGGGTGGAACCCAGGGACGGTGCTCAGAGGTGGGTAGGGGGTGGAACCCAGGGACGGTGCTCAGAGGTGGGTAGGGGGTGGAACCCAGGGACGGTGCTCAGAGGTGGGTAGGGGGTGGAACCCAGGGGCGGTGCTCAGAGGTGGGTAGGGGGGTGGAACCCAGGGGCGGTGCTCAGAGGTGGGTAGGGGGTGGAACCCAGGGGCGGTGCTCAGAGGTGGGTAGGGGGTGGAGACAAGGAGTGACTCAGAAGGAAGGAGGTCCTGCACGTATTCTCTGGGGAAAAAAAACCCGTATATATTTATATACATTTTATATATAATTGTGTTCAATTTCTTAATATCATCAATTTAAATCAATATGAATTTTTTTTCTGCACCTTTGCGGCTGGTTTCACACTGAGAAGTTTTTGCGAATAAAAGAGTGCAAAGAGAAAAGCTGAAAAAATGCCTCCATTTAAATTTTATGTGTGCATTCACACTGGTCCATTGCACTTCCCTTGTAGTGTAAATCCTGCTTGCTGCATTTTTGCTTCATATTTGGTCAGTTAAAAAATAACTCCCCTCCCCATTGGGCCTAGGTTCACACTTGTGCGGTGCGGGACACCTCATGTGATTCACACATTCCTGTACACATCACATGCAATGTCTGTGCGGTATGATTTGAGCCGTACATTTTGTATTGCTGAAATCACATCCAAACCAAAGTTGTGTAGGACCCATTTTTTTGGCCGTACCTGAATCGCATTGCACAAGTGTTCACACCCATGTAATGCGATTCTGGCAATCACACTGTGTTTTGCGATCTGTTTCAGAGTATTAAATTAACAACATTGACACCTGCAGCAGATTGCATAGACACCATGTGATTGCGGTGCGATGCGGGAGACGCACAGGACTTCATGCATTTTCCACATTGAATTAGTATGAACCAGGGAAAATGCATTGAAAACACAGCAAAAATGCACCCCGTGTTGCATTTTTGGTGCAATTTTTGAGTCACATGACCTGTGAAAAACACCATAATCTGGTAAAATCGCAGCAAAACCTCAGCAAAATTGCAGTAAAAACGTGGCAAAATTGCACTTTTCGGCGGCCATTACCGTCAGCATTTTTTCTATCGGCAGAACGCAGATAACCCTATTTTTGGCCAATCATTTGGCAGCAGAAACATCGCTGCGTCCCTATTTGTATGGATTGACTTTGGCTTTTGCTGGTTTTATGAAGGACACCTGCAGCTCTTCATACATCGCTGGATTCAGGATTCTAGTTGGGAGTCGGGAGATTTCTACACTTTTCTGGGATTTTTCTTCCCCCTGTAGAGAACTTTCTTTAGATTAATTGGTTTTCTTCCCAAATCAATTTCTATCTCTCAGATACCTCAGAGGGAGGAATATATCAGTAGTATACCCATTTCTGATCACCGTGTTCCAGAGTCTCACTCCTTTAGCTGCAACTTTTCTTATGTACAATAAAAACCAAATCAAAAGTTGGAGTAAATCCTCAGCAAGTCAGAGATTTTATTGAGCTGTATACAGGGTGGATTTGATTTAAATCACTAGTCAGTAAGGCTGGATGTAAATCCTAGTTTTCTACATAAAGACTAATTCTTGCTGGTATAACTTTAATATGCAAGTAGATGAAGATTTTTAGAATAACTTTTCATATTAGTTTTTTATCCCCAGTTTAATAGGTTAATCATTCATATTTGGACAACTTTTCTGTTGTACTTCGGAAGGAGAAAAATAATCATTACCTTAACCTCTTGCCGACCGCGCATAGCCGAATGACGGCTTCACCGCGGCCGGCCAGTTCTGAGTGGACGTCATATGACGTCCTCCCAGAACGCGCTCCCCGGCGATCTCCGTGATCGCTGTGTCCTACGGACACAGCTGATCACGTGATGTGGTGAAAGGCCGATCCCACCGGCCTTTTACCACGTGATCAGCGGTGTCCAATGACACGCTGATCAGAGGGAAATGCAAGTGCCGGTTCTCGGCTGCACTTTCCTCACGCTGTCAGATCGTGAGGAAAGTACTGCCGAGAACCGGCAGTTGTCAGAGCGGGGATCGGCACCGATCATCAGGGCACTGATGATCAGTGCCCTGATGATCGGTGCCCAGCAGTGACACCCGCAAGTTCCGCCCAGCAGTGCGCCTACTAGCCCCGCCCACCCGTTCCCAGATGTGCCCCCACCTGTGCCCAGCAGTGCACCCACCTGTGCCACTCTGCAGTGCCACCTACCTGTGCCCAGAAGTGCCACCTACATGTGCCCAGCAGTGCCACCCACCTGTGCCCACCCACCTGTGCCCACCAGTGCCACCCACCTGTGCCCACCAGTGCCACCCACCTGTGCCCACCCACCAGTGCTGCCCACCAGTGCCACCCACCAGTGCAGCCCAGCAGTGCTGCCAGTCAGTGCCACCAGTCAGTGCCCAGGGGTTGTGCCAGTCAGTGCCACCAGTCAGTGCCCAGAAGTGATGCCAGTCAGTGCCGTCTATCAGTACCCATCATCAGTGTCACCTATCAGTGCTGCATATCAGTGCCGCCTATCCGTGACCCCTAATTAGTGCTGTCTATCAGTGACGCCTATCCGTGCCACCTCATTAGTACTGCCTATCAGTGCCCTTTAGTGCTGCCTATCAGTGCCGCCTATCAGTGCCCATCAGTGCCGCCTCATCAACGCAAATCAGTGAAGGAGAAAAAATACCTGTTTGAAAAATTTTATAAAAGAAACAAATAAACTTTTTTTTTTTTTTTCAAATTTTTTGCACATTTTTTAATTTATAGCGCAAAAAGTAAAGCGCCCAGTGGTGATTAAATACCACCAAAAGAAAGCTCTATTTGTGAGAAAAAAATGATCAAAATTTCATATGGGTACAATGTTGCATGACCGCGCAATTGTCAATCAAAGTGCGGCAGCGCTGAAAGCTGAAAATTGGCCTGGTAAGGAAGGGGGTATAAGTGCCTGGTAGGCAAGTGGTTAATAATAACAATTTAAATAGATTTATTCAACTGAAACAATAACATTCCAGCATATGTTATTTGCTTAAACATCCATGTTTGGTAACTAATTTGGCTAAACAAAATATATATATTTTAAGAACCTTAGACTGTCAGCCCCTTCCTCCTCACACTTAGTTTCACTTTCTTCTTGTGCAGATCTATTCCACTCCAAACAATCAGAAAAATATTGTTTCTATTCTATTCACTGAACTTCTTGAAACTTAGCAGTGAAGGGGTTGATTCTGTATTCATAGGTTTGTAGAAGTTAGGATGAAGGTCTTTTTCTTAACTCTGTTCATGTTATAAACATTTTTGCTGTGAAGAAGAGGCCTGTGATCTCCGCTGAGTCACATTCAGTTTTGAGAACTGCAAAAGTAAACCAAGCATCTGTGATAATATCTTGTAGGCAGAGAAACTGCCCAATAATCTTACAGAAACCTCTGGAAGAGCATGACATTGTGAATGGATTCATGGAATTTATTTACCAAAAAAGTAAACACATACAGCCTTCTACATAATTAAAAAACTAATCTTTATTTCATGATGGAATAACCTTTGGATGGTAATATATTTTCCTCAAAAAGCATTTTATTTAAAAAAATCGGATTTAAATAAAAAAAAAATCGGATTTTTTTTTATTTTTTTAAAAAAAATAATTGATTTTTATCCACCCTGGCTGTATATGAATGTGGGGGATGCTGCAAAATGCCCAAAAATCAGTTTTGTGTGGCTGATCCTTACAAGGGGCTCTCCAGATTATAGTAGAAGTAATGGCAGTATTTTGTTATCATTGGACAGAGTGGGGGGTATGAGACCCCCCAATGTACCCTCTATATATCCTATTACTGGTATCCCTGAGGGTGAGGCTCGGCCATCTGATTTTGATCTGATTTTTAGTGTGATTATGTCGTGTGACTTGGTTGTGTTTTGGATTTGGTTTGCATATTCTTTGGGTCCCAAATCACACCGGAATCACAGCAAAGTAGTCCAGCAACGTTTTCCAAAATCACTCCATGCTGAGTTCCATTGATGTGAATGGGCATCATTGAGAACAACGTGATTTCCATTGTCATGCAATTCTGTGCAACTGAAATCACATCTCAGATTGTACTGCTGTGGACCCGGCCTAAATGTGGAAGAAAATCCCAAATTATGGTTAGATCCAGAACAGGAATAGAAGGGAAATCTTCCAATGGGGACACTAGTTCTGGTGACAACCATAGTTTACCGAATTTTTGAGGGATTTCTTCTCATTTCCTGGGTTGGCTATAGTACAGGAAGACTCGCCAATTGGACATATAGTGGCTAAATGGTTAGCACTTCCACCTGGCAGTACTAGGTTCATTGGTTCGAATGCCAGCCACAGCACCACCTGCCTGGAGTTTGCATGTTCTCCCTGTGCCTGTGTGGGTTTCTTCTGGGTACTCTGGTTTCCTCCCACACTCCAAAGACATGCTGGTAGGTTAATTGGATCCTTTCTAAATTGGCCCAAATATGTGTATGTATGAATGTAAGTTAGGGACCTTAGATTGTACGCTCCTTGAGGGTTAGGGACTGATGTGAATGTACAATATATTGTGTAAAGCGCTGCGTAAATTGATGGCACTATATAAGTACCTGAAATAAAAATCAAATATAGCAAAAACTGACAAAGGTCATAACCCTCCCTTACTCTGTTCAAATGGGAAAAAGTTTCCCATTCAATTCTACTAAAATGGGATATATATATAACAAAAAGATTCATTGTTGCCAATAGTAACCAGTTGGGATCCTTGTGAACCCGTATTGTGAATACTTTGGGTGCCTCTCATGTTTTAATCTTAACTTGGTGACCCCACTGATGGTACTGGCTTGGGAAGCCCATTGCGGCTCAATACATTCAGTAGGAGAGAAGAAAGCTCCTGGTCGTCGCACACCACCGAGACTTCATCCAGGCCATGCCTCCCCGACGCGTTTTGTCCCCACAGGGTTACACAGATTGGGGCGTGGCTTGGATGGAGCTGGCTGAGGCTGCTTTCACCTCTATGACCGTCGGGTCTCGTTGGTTTGCAGCGGTCAGGAGCTTTCTTCTCTCCTACAGTAAGGATCCTTGTTTATTTTTCAACACTGCATTGCAGAGAGTTGGTTGCTGGTGACAAATCATTGATCTCAGATCACTTTTCATACACAGACCCCACATTGTCCTGTAACTCTCATCATTGGTAGTAGTGCAGGGCCCCCCTCCCCCACCCATTACTGTCTCTCATCACATTTTTTAATAATTTAATTCCTCCCGTCACTTTATTTTTGTTTGTGGACATCAATCTTGTATTCTCAGTACACAATGGTCCTTGTTATTTGTAGCAGATTAAACATTGGTGATTGGATGAATTATTTTGGGTCTGATTTACTAAACCATATATGTGTGTATGGCAGGGCTTGGAGCTCATGTGAAAGCCTATTATCAGCACAGCATTCAGTCTGCACCCTCCATGTGTACCAATGTGCACCCTCCATGTGTACCAATGTGCACCCTCCATGTGTACCAATGTGCACACACAGACTACAACATTTACACAAAATGTATTAATCTCTGTCAGTATTATATAACAATATAAAGCTGCGTCATGTACATACAATGATTGTTAGAGGATGTTGTAATAAACCCGAGATTGTATAAGGGCCAATTCATACTCTATGCAGTGACAGGAAACGATTGCTTCCTCTGTGTCCCATTCACACTGCAATGCAGCCTAGTGTTGCGGTATAATGCAGACATGCGGCATTTTATCGCAGTGCCTTGAGCCGAATCGCACTGCAATGTCAGGCAGCACAGCGCATTTTGTACATTTTGCACAGTTCAAATAAAGTTGGTACAAAAAAAAAAATTTGAGCCCTGTGATGCGCTGAGTCACTTACCACACTGCCCCCTAGTACAGCCGACAATGCAAAGCGGGCCGTGGTGGTGAATTGCTCCGGTTGCTCTGCGATTTTAATGTTTTTTTAGTTGTAAATTTCCCCCCGTCCCCCAAATCCTCAGTGATCTGTGTGTAGGGGAGGGGTTGGGGGGGTATTCTCCTGCACAGAGGCGGATCTTCGTACAGACGTTCAAGCACTAAGGGCTCTTTCACATGGGTAGCTGGGGGATAATGAAAATGGGTGGCTGATCCACAGTTTTACTGCCCCCCGTCCACCCAAATACTAATATTTACATCCTGACAGGGCTGTACAGATGCTGTGGCTGCGATGTTTTGCTTAATGGCTGCACCATTTTTATGTTGGGTTGCCGGGTCTGACGGTCGCACTGCTTGTCAAACTCACCCATTGAGACTAATGGGGCCGCACCACGACTATAACCCGAGCACTTGGCTCACTGTTGCAGAAATGTCACACGATGTAAAATCACACTTCAGCAATTAAAAAAGTATAAACAATACATTATCAGGTGTAAGTAGCCTCTCCTGAACGTCTGTCAGCCATTTCTGTCTGTGCGGATACAGGGTGGGGGATGCCTCTGCTGCCTGTGATTCGCTGTTCGCAGTGACAACATCCTGGTGGGATCGGTGAGGCAGGTCCAGACTTGTGTCCAGCCATGGCTGAGCTCATCCCTAATTACATCATACATTATGGTCAGTGTAGATCAGTGATACAAGATTGGGATTGCAGTTCATAGGGGGATTGTTGTACCAATAATAGTAAATTCATACCATCTTTGTTACATTGGAGGGGATTATCTCTGTACATTGCTCTCTTCACACTGAAGTAGACATAACCTGATCTTATTCCGGCAGTGATCTGGGTCAGGGATGACACTTGTATGTATCCATTATATACATTATGCTGTGTGATGTGTACAGGATGTATATATAACCGTCTGTATGTCTCTCTATCAGACAGTCACTCTATGCGGGGTGGTATTATTACACTGGAGTCTCCTCTCCGGGATCCGGGCTCCCTGTGTTCTCTATAGTCGGATATGTGGATGATAAGGAGATAACAAATTATAACAGCGACACTCGGCAGGAACAACCTAAGACTGAATGGATGAAGAAACTGGGACCTGACTACTGGGAATTTAACACACACAATATAAGTCAGAACACTGAGCCTGTTTACAAGCACAATGTACAGACATTGATGAGACGATTCAACCAGACTGGAGGTGAGACAATTCTTACATTTCTATTTCTTTATTACACCAAATACAAACCCTGCAGACAGGATTACAGGGGAGGAAAGGCCGACAAACACAGGAGAGATGAGACATTCTATGAGACAGATTTATAGAAGATCACAGCTTGATTAATAAATTCCTCCATCATCTGATCAGAATTATCACCTCACCTATAAAATATACACAAACTACTTCTTATAGGAACCCTGTACTGAGAGATATGGAGGCCGCCATAGCTGATCTCCTCTACTCCAGACTTCACTCTGACTTTACTTGCTGCATGCTTGTTCCAGGTTAGCAATTTAAACATACTGAGCCAAGACAGCCAGGCAACCAGCAAT